GATCCTGGTCAACATGGTGAAACCCCGTCTCTACTAAAACTACAAAAAATTAGCTGGGCATGGTGGCGCATGCCTGTAGTCCCAGCTACTCAGGAGGCTGAGGCAGGAGAATTGCCTGAACCCGGGAGGTGGAGGTTGCGGTGAGCCGAGATCGCGCCATTGCACTCCAGCCTGGGTAACAAGAGCGAAACTCCGTCTCAAAAAAAAAATAAATAAAATAAAATAAAATAAAATAATAATAAAAAAAAGAAGACAGCCTTGCTGTTTATGTTTAGGCACAAGCAAGTCAAGAAAGTCGTCCAAGGCTGTGCAATAGCAGCAAGCAAGGCACACACACTTCCAAATCTGAGCACAGTGACCCTTGAACGACCGGGGACACACGTGCGTCTCATGCCAAGAAGGCCGGGGCACAAGTGCTTTGGGGGCAGCACTCCTAGGGTCGGTGTTGGTCCAGGTGACTGTGGCTGTTCATTGCACAAAGCTGCCTTCCCAGGCAGACCAACCATCATGGACACATAGCTGCCCATTCCCATTTTGAACCCAAACCAACTCACCTCTTCCTTCTGAAAAGCCAAATGGACACCACCAGCACAATGCAGATGCCAAGAACGCCGGCCAGGGCCAGCGAGAGGATGACGCCTGGTGAATAGGTAGAGGACACACATTACACTCCTTCCTGCCCCTTCATCTTAGCCCATGGCCCCCAGGTGTGAAATCACAGCCCAGCTATGTAATCATCCACAGAAAGGAATAATTTCCCCAGCCCTGTTCTCAGATTCTGGTCTTTGGCTTAGTGGGACTGGCTGGAGTATTTTGAGGGGTCCATTTGCAAATTCTAGTTTTCCAGCAGAGGCTCTCAAACTTGCACAAGGCCCATCTGAAGAGCTTGTTTGAAATGTGGAGTTTTTTTTTTTAGCCCAACCCGCAGAGATTCAAATTCAATCTGTTTGGGGTGGGGCCCAGGAATCTGCATTTTACCAAATACTTCCAGGTGATGCTGAGGCACATGGTCCAAGAGCCACACTTGGATAAGCCCCAGGCTTCACAAATAAGAACTTTGCCTGGTCTTCGCCTGCTGGATTTAAGGTCCATTGGCTGTCTCTATCAGTTTTGCTCCCAAGTTCCACTGCGCAGTCCTAAGCAGTCCCAGGTGACCAGTAGTCCATTGCCAAGGTCATACGGCCTGTCAGCCGACCTCCGCACTGGGCTCTGGCATGTTTTCAGCAACAGCCTCCCACCATGACCAAAAGAAGGTCTTAGATAGGTTCTTTGAATACATACATGCTGTAGAGTGATTAGATCTTTCATTAGAGGAACATTTGATTGGCAGTTCATCTTTGAATCAGACAGTGACTTGAGGGTAAGACCCATAGCAAGGAGAGGGCCAGGAGCCAGAGCAATAGCACAGAGAAGCAGAGAGGATGGGCTGGATCACAGGCCCAGATCACACCAAGAATCACAGTGATCACCCAGCTACAGCATGCACGGCCGGCTGCCCAGCCACATACCCAGACTCAGTCCTGTGGCGGGACAGACTTGCACTTAACAGGGGAGAGGAAAAGACTGGATGTTACTCTAGAGTTAAACCATGCTGGATTTGAGCATCCTGTTGAGAGATGCTCTACCTTTTGTCTGGTTAGCAGTACGGGTCTTAGGCAGACAGACCTCTAGGGGTGTTCACCCTTGGCTCAAGGACTGCCTGACGGAGTAGAGGAAATTGCCCATCTAGGGAATTCATACTGCAATCCCTCCTTCCGATGCTCCTTTATCACAGCAGTCTCCTGGCTAGGGAAAACTTCAGGATTTTTTTTTTTTTTTTTTTTTTTTTGCAGACAGAGTCTTGCTCTGTCACACAGGCTGTAGTGTTGGCTCACTGCAACCTCCACCTCCTGGGTTCAAGCAATTCTCTTGCCTCAGCCTCTGAGATAGCTGGGATTGCAGGCGTGTACCATCGCACTTGGCTAATTTTTATACTTTTAGTAGAGATGGGGTTTTGCCATGTTGGCCAGGCTGGTCTCGAACCCTTGACCTCAAGTGATCCACCTACCTCAGCCTCTCAAAGTACAGGGATTACAGGTGTGAGCCACCACGCCCAGCTAAGACTTCAGTTTTTATTACAATGTGGCCGAAGAGGAAAGGTGAAGAAGGGTATGGATCAAAGTCTGCTTGGGCAGGCTACTGTCCACGTCCTTGGTACCTGTCTCTCTTCCAAAGCAAGGGACCCACCACCAGACTTCTCCCCCAGCCCATCCAGCTTGTCATCATGGTTTGGTTCTAGTTTTGCGTTGTCTCTCCTGGACAAACTCCTTGACCATACACCAGCTCACTTCTCCGCTCTTTGGAACCAGAAGATTATGGTTTCAACCAGCAAGTTACTGTTGGGAATAAATAAGGTGAATGCGAAGTCCTCAGTGGGGCTGAACCTGTGCCCAGCTACCTAAGGCGAAATCTCACAGTCGGCCTAGTAGGCACCTCCTGGGGGCAAATCACATGTGAATACATCGTCTTGAGTGAGCAGAGGAGCCAGTCATGAAGTCTCCCCTGGAAACCCCTAGCCTGTTTTTTCTAAGGTTCCCACAACCATTCCCCATTCTCCTAATCAGGTCCTCTGTCTAAAGAAAGCGGAGATTTACACATACCCTTCTGTCTGGTGGTTTTCTAATCTCAATGGAAACTTCTAGCATGTGTGTGTGTGTGTTGGAGGAAGAAGGGTTACTTGTTCCAACTTACATTGGGAACCATAGTTATACAGATGGTGGCCACCCAGCCTGACACAGAAGATCCCGTGCCCATAGAGGCCACAGTGGTGGCTGAGGCCCTGGGAGAGCCCTGGTCAAGTGCAAGATGCCAGCACGGGGCCAAGGACTCTCCCTTGGGGCCTCTGACACCCTGGGGAGCCAGATCTGAGGCTGCAGGGTGAGGTTTTGCTCACCCTCACCCTTCTCCTGTCCTATGGCTTGAGTATGACTGATTCCCGAGGAGCTATCTGCTGTGTGCTTTTCCTACTGCCTTTTTCTATAATCTCATATTGAACTTGCAAAGCCTCCCTGGTCCAAGGCTGGGCCCTGGGGGTTCCTGATCTGGCTTCCCAGGTGGCACCAGGCTGCTGTGAGGTTTAGTAGAGCAGGCAGTGAGCAGAGCTGTCCCCAAGGACAGGAGGCCTATTCTCCCTGCTCTGCTGGCCACCAGCAGCAGCTCATGACCTCCCAAGTGGCAGAGGGTGGCTCCACTGGCCAGACTCCCTGGCCTAGGCCTTTTTGTGTAACCTGAACACAAGGACCAGCCTGTGGCTTGGGGAGGTGCTCAGCTCATGAGTCTCCACCTGTGGGGAGCTTCAAGTGTTTGCACAGCACAGGCTCTGTTTCCTGCAGGGCCTGTGGCCTCTGCACAGTGTAATTTGGCATTAGGGTTGGTTGTTTCTTTTTTAAATGTAACCAGAGACCGTGGTCCTTGGCATCTTAAAAAAACAAACATAATAAACCTAACCATGGTTTTTCTTCCAAACCCTTTGACGAAATGCGCTCTCGTTCTTTGTTCCTGAAGCTCCAGATGCTTGTGGTGCCAAACCGTTCTCGCCACCTGAAGATTATTACTAGCAAGCCTCACCACCTGGCTAAGCCATCCAGGCTGTATGGTTTCTAAGGTCATCTCTTTCACAGTCACCTCAAACATCCTGAGAGCCACAGAGGCCCCAGACCACTGAGCAGCCAGCCCAGTCTGCGGCTGGCGGAGGTGCCCTTCATGCCTGGTCTTGGGGAGCTGAGAAAAGTCTATGCATGGACAGCAAGGCCCCCAGGGTGGGGGTTTTCTCAGGGCACATGCCCTACCTGGTAGCTTCTCTGGAGAGAGAGTCTGGCTTCCTCTTGTTATGATGCAGACCTCCTGTTAAAGGCTCTGTAAGCAGCAGAATAGTTTAACCCAGTGCTCTAACCCAGGCTCTTTGCTCCTCGATGACCACTTGTCAAGGCCTAAATGAACTCTCCTTGGAAACACTTAAATGAGACCAAACAGCCATGAAGACAAGGAAAAGCCCCAGAGACTGGGACAGATGCTTTTCAGCCAAGACTTTGATACGACAAAATCGAAGCAGCTTGACTGAGCAAGCATCATAAGCTGCTAAGGAATAGGAATGCTGGCAAGGGTGTCGCCCAATAGTTCCACCACCTCCGGAAGCCCAGGGCAGGAAGGTGTCGTTGGAACACCATCCCTGCCAACTGAGACAGCACCAGCCATCATGGAGGTGTGGCTTCTTTGCAGAAATGCGCTTGAGTCCCACTGGAGGCAGATGCCAAAGAGAGAAAGTCAGCGAGACTTCCAGGGTACAGGAAGAACTGTCAGGGCAACCAGAGAACTAGAGGCTGAAAGAGAAGCCAAAGCCTGTTTCCCAGCAGAGCCTCAGGTGGGTAAGGGCCCAGCCTCTAGGATGCTGTAGAGAACAGGCATCAAAGATGGTACCGGGATGGACAGAGCCAGAGAAATTCACTTTCAGGTTAAAGAAAGAAATGGTTTATTTCTAAGTAGGAAAGAAGGCAGGCAGTTCCCGTGGAAGAACAATGGGACAGACGATAGAAATGGAGACAGGCTGGGTCACAGAGGTGGCCCGTGAGAGGCATTCCAGAGAAGTGAGGACCCGACAGAAGGAGCTCCTGGGCTGACTGGTAAGAAGGTGGGCACCACGTGGACGTGGGAGAGCTGCCTGTTCACAAAGTGCTCAGGTGTGAGTCAGGCGAGCAGAGAGACGGCAGTGTGACACACACAAGGAGACCACACGGATACACAAGCACTTGACGGGCACACGCCTCGCCCGGGAAGGTACAGACACATGGAGAAGGTCGGCGAGCGGCTTGCCACAGGGCCTTGCTACCTGTTCTGGTGGGCCCAGGAGCTGTGTCTTCCACTGGCATCTTGCTGGACTGAGGGATGCTGGTTAAGGGCTTTTGAGGTCTTCTGAAGCCTCAAGCGTAAACACAGCAAAGGCCAGCGGGAGGAAGAAGCACCTCACTTTCGCATCTCGAGGTTCCTGAAACAACAGTCTGGTATTTTCTCACTCTATTTATAATTCTGTTTGACGGTGGACTATCATCCTTTTCAAGTATTATTGTAAAGTATGGACTGTTGACACAGATGGCATGTTACGTAGTGATAACATACAACATATCCTTAGCTGTCTCCAGCCTTAAAAAAGAGGTCAGAAGAGTTTAGATTTACCAGGGGTTTGATAGTTTAAATACACAAAATCTGTCTTAGGAAGGTTAAAAACTCCCATGATTACACTTAATAAAAATCATGGAGTCAAGAAACGGCAATGCCATTGCTGTCTTATGATGCTTTGCTAAGACAAGCAAGGAAGAAGCCCTCACCATACAGCATGGCCATCTTTAGAGGACATATTTAACCGGGGATTTTTCCTTATGAACACTATGCAACCCAAAAAAGACACAATTTCTACCAAGAAATCTGCCAACAACATATCACCAGATTACATGGGAGAACTGGTTTTATACAACCATGATGGGACTGAGGGCTTTGCCTGTAGACTGCAGGAATGCAGGCCCTGCAGACAGCCACGTTGCTCTAGAGGGCTCAATCCCAGAGCCTTGGGGGCAGTTACAACGCTGGCACTGGGTGCTTGGCACTCTAAGCTGCCTTCCCTGTGCCTGCTGAAGGAATGGGTGGCAGGATGGGTGCTTTTGGTCCCTATCAAGCCAGAGCCACAGAAGGCACAACAGCATCTCTAGGCAACTTCCTCCCAGACCTTCCAAACTGACAGCTAAGTTCCGATCTTTAATTTTTCCTAAACAAATGGGTTGATTTTTAACACTGTTAGCAAAGGGAGAGCAAAGAAAAATAAGACAATAAAACTAAAAAGTGACAACTGGTTAGGCTTACGTGTAAATCATTCTGCAGAGAAGACACTGGGAGGGGACGGAACGGGAGGTGGGTCAGGGACGTTCTTTCAACAAGCTTATACTGAGCAGCAGGCAGAATGCCCCGCATAAAAATGTGTCAGACGTCAGTCATCCCGGCCTGAACGAACTTGCAGTGTGTGTATCATATACACGTATTGCTTTTTCTGTTTGCCTTTGCTGTATGGTAATGACGACTCTATGGTGTGTCTAGTAACATAACAGAGATGGAGAAGTGGTTCTGGCTGCGCTGAGTGAGATTAAGTCACCTGCAGGGGAACGGAGAGGACTTCCAGAAGGACATGATGAGAATTGGGTCTTGAAAGAATTTTCCAGATGGAGGAGGGAGGGGACACCTCAGACATCAAGTGTGTGTACTTGAAAGCATCTGCCCTACGGTTTTGGGGGCTGGGGCCAAGAGGGCAGGGATAGGGCTGTGGGGAGATGACATGGAAGGATCAGCTGGGGCCCCGTCACCAAGGGTGGGTCCAGCCTTCTGCCCAGCCCTTTTTCCCACTGTCTTTCCTGAACATAGTCCATTCTGTGCCACTGGCTGTGTTTAGGAGCAAGGTAACAGCCACCATGGGGTTTTCTGTCTCCCATAGTGTGTAACTCAGGCTGTGCTCAGGAAACAT